GGTAAGGAGATTGTTACCATGGTTCAGTTGATTGGTAATTGCAGTGGCAGGACTGAGGAGCCCCTTGAGGTCCAGAGCTTAGTTATTTCCATTTCTTTATACCTAAGCTAAATGTTATAGTACACACCTGTAATCCTAGTGCTCTGAGAGGCTGAGGCAAGAGGATTGCAAGTTCCATCCCAGCTTGGGTAGCTTAGTGACTTAGTAAAAGCTTGTCTCCAAATGAAAAATTAAAAGGGTTGGAGCTGTAGCTCATCGCAAAGTCCCCCCAATTCAATCTCCAGTACCACACACACACACACACACACACACACACACACACACACACATCAATGCTATCTTTATACCTCACATACTGCCTTCATCTTACAAGAGCTAGTAGATGTCCATTGACTCTAAATTTGCTTTTTAAAGAAATTGCTTTTTTTTTTTTCTTTGAGCTAGGGTCTTGCTTTTTGCCCAGGCTAGTCTCAAACTCCTGGGCTCAGGTAATCCTTTTGCCTCAGCCTCCCAAGTACCTGAGATGACAGTCATGTGCTGCCATACCTGGCTTATGAAACCGCTTTCTAGACAAGGTCTTAGTCTATGGGAATATGGACATGCAGGGACTGGGAAAATGTTTCCCCCTCATTGCTTTCCCTGAATGGTGTTGTGTTTAATCTGAAAGATATTATATTGTCATTCACACAACTGAAATTAAGGTTATTCTCTAAGATAGAAATTGGGAGTAATCAAATTAGAACTAGTAAAGGATATTAGGCCTTAAAAGGAATGTTACAAGAGATTATGTGAGAATGATTGACTAGAATGGTGATCTGGGTTTGACTTCATGGCCCAGTGAGTGGTTGTGGCAGGACCTGGGAAGAGAGAAAGGCCTGAGAGGATCCTCCTTAGAGGCAGGGCATCAGGCACCTCTGACTGTGTCAGAGGGAATTTCCAGACCACAGGTCACCACGTAGGTGGGTATTCTGTTGTACCTTGCAAAGCAGCTACTCAGGGTCAGTAACCGGGCTCAGCACTGGAAACATGGTAGGGAACTAAGCAACCATGCTCTTGTCCTTATGGAGCTTGTCTTAGTGGTCTGGACAAAGATCTGAGTTTAACAAGAAACCGCATCAGTCAGTGTGAACACATGAATTGCACTTGAACTGTAAAGAAGTACAAGGTGGTGTGAGATCATGTGACCACGGGCCTGAAATTATCTGGTAAGGATACATCTCCACCAAAAGCACATTCAAGGACAAAGGACTTTAATGTGAGGGTGTGTGAACAGATCTAGAAGAGTGTTCCAGACAGAGAGAATTACCAGTTCCAGGGCAACAGAGAGCTTTCTATGGCAGACCTTGAAAGAGGGCCTAGGTGGCCAGAGCAGAGAGAGTGGAATGGGAGAAAGGCACAAAGTAAGATTTGAGAAGAGGGCAGGGACGGAGCATGCTGGACTTGGTAGGCTACTAGAAGGATTGAGATTTATCCTAAATTCAGTTGGAAGCCTTTGAAGGGTAGAAAAATGGGTTGTGGTATTATTAGAATTGAATTTTTAAAGATGCCATGCTGGCTGTTGTGAAGAGTAGGGAAGACAAAGCAAGTGTCAATTTGGGAACCTTTAGCAGGCTTGGCTGAAGTCCTGGCAACAGACAAGGGAGAGTGGTAGTGCCCAGGGGCAGCAGTGGAGATGGAGCAGAGCAGATGAATGGAGTTATATTCCCAAAGTTATTTCATTTGTTTTGGTACTGGGGATCAAACTCCAGTCCTTGCACTTGCTTGTGAGGCAGGCAGCCGCACCACTGATCTAAATCCCCGGCCCTCCCAAGATTGTTTCAACAGTAGTTAGTGATGGATTGACTAGAGGGAGGATACAGGAAGATTAGGGGAGTGCTGTGTACTGAAATGGCAAAGATTTTTCCAGTGTTAGCCCAGTGCATAGTTAACATGTCTTTTACCTCACACCATCCCTTCCCCTCCCTTCACTTCCTTCCTTCCTTCCTTCCTTCCTTCCTTCCTTCCTTCCTTCCTTCCTTCCTTCCTTCCTTAAAAACCGTCACTTCGGCCATTTCTCCTCTCTCACCTCTTTTTTATTACACACCAACCCACATACACACACACACACACACACACACAAAATCAACAACCCAGGGTCTCTGCACTGAGTTGTAGCCGCAGCCCTTGTTCATTTTTATTTTCAGACAGGTCTCTTTAAATTGACCAGGATGGGCTGGATTTGGAATCCCTGTGCCTCAGTATCCAGCAGTACTGGGGTTGCAGGTGTGCTTCACCATACTTGCCTGTTGTGTTTCTATGGTACTGGGGATTGAACCCAGGCTTGCACTGAGCCACATCCCCATTCTTAGTTCTGCCGAAGCGAGCAAGACACATCCCTATTCCTTAAAAAAATTTTTTTGTTAAAATTTATTAATATTTAACATCACATAGTAAATTAAAATATTTTCTTTTGAAATTTTGAACCAGAATCTCACTAAGTCATTCAGTTGCTCTGGATGAACTTGAACTTGTGATCCTTCTGCCTCAGCTTCCCAGAGTGCCTGACAACATGCATGTACCGCAGTGTCTGGCTCACAGTTTCTTTCTCATGTCATTTTATTGTTGTATATTGGTTATACAGATTCATAGGTTTAATTTGGGCAGATTTGTACATGTACATAACATACTTTGATCACCATCTTTCCTGTCCCTCCCCCTAGTTTCACATTTGGGGGAAGGGGTTCAATATGATCATATCCATCCCCCAATTGCCCGACCTTATACCCCTTCACCTTTATTCCCTCCTCTTGTCTAACAATAGTCTTCCTTCTACTTTCTTGTCATCTTTTCTAGATTCCATGTATTAGGGGAATGTGGTACATTTGTCTGTCTTGAGTTTGGTTATTTTATTCAAGGTAATGATCTCCAGATCCTACAAATAACAAAATTTGTTTCTTTTTTATGGCCAAATATTCCATTGTGTGTATATACCACATTTCTTTTTTTTTTTTTTCTCACTGAGTTTATTGGTACATTTTAGGGATACAGTACAGTTACATTCATCATTGGGATCTTGTACCTTTACATGACAGGTCTTGGTTCTTATTTTTTCCCCTTATCCCTGCCCCCACTTCACCCCTCCTCCCTTCCCTATTTACATATACTTTATTTCCATTTTTTCATGTTATTTTTTTCCTTTTATACCACATTTCTTTATCCGTTCATTGGTTGATGGGCACATATCCTGGCTATTGTGAATTGTGCTGTAATAAAAATGTCTTTATTTATTTATTTTTGGTACTGGGGATCGAACTTGGGACCTTGCGCTTGTGAGGCAGGTGGTGGAACCACTGAGCCAAATCCCCAGCCCTGTACTGCAATAAAAAATGGGTATGCAGGTATCCCTATAGTAGTCTGACTTTAATTCCTTCAGGTATATACAAAGGAGTGGTATAGCTAGATCAAATGGTAGATCTATTTTTTAGTATTTTGAGGAACCTCCATATTAATTTCCATAGTGACTATGCTAATTTACATTTCTACCAGTGGTATAAAAGGGTTCCTTTTCCTGTCCAGGCATTTTGGCATATACCTGTAATCCCAGCAGGAGGCTGAGGCAGGAGGATTGATGCAAATTTGAGGTCAGCCTGTGTTATATAGTGAGTTTAAATTCAGCCTAAATTATATACCCAGACTCTGTCTCATCTTCCACTGCACCAAAAAAAAAAAAAACCTTTTGCCCTTCCCCCACACATTAATTTTTGTTTTGTTTTGTTTTTTGAAACAGGATCTCACTGTATAGTTGAGACTGACCTGGAACTCACTATGTAGCCCAGGCTGGTCTCAACTCGCAAGATCTTCCCTGCCTCAGCCTCCCGAGTGCTGGGATTATAGTCGTGTGCTAACGCACCTGGCTGGAGCCCTCTATATTCTTGATGATAGCCATTCCTTTTTTGTTTGTTTGTTTGTTTGAGACAGGGTCTCAGTATGTAGTGAGACTGACCTGGAACTCAATATGTAGCTCAGGCTCACAGCGATCCTCCTACCTCAGCCTCCCAAGTGCTGGGATTACAGGCGTGCGCCCCCATGCCCGGCGATGATAGCCATTCTGAATAGAGTGAAATGAAATCTCAGTGTAGTTTTGATTTGAATTTCCCAATGGCTGAAGATGTCGAACATGTTTTCATGTGCTTACTGGCCATTCATGCTTCTTTGAGACATGTCTGTTTAGTTCATTTGCCCATTTATTGATTGGGCTATTTGATTTTTTTGGTGTTACGTTTTTAAAATTCACTATATGTTCTAGATATCAGCCATCTGTTGGAAGAGTAGCTGTCAAAGATTTCCTCCCATTCTGTTAGCAGCCTCTTCATTCTCCTTTACTGGGCAGAAACTTTTTAATTTGATGTAGTCCTATTTATTGATTCTTGCTATCTTGGAGTCCTGTTGGGAAGTCTTTGCCTGTGCCTGTGGCTTCAAGTGTTTCCTCCATCTTTTCTTTCAGCACTTCAAAGTGTCAGGGCTCATACCTAGGTCTTCAATCCATTTTGAATGGATTTTTGTACAGGGTAAAAGATAGAGATCTAGTTTCAGTCTATTACAAGTGCCCCCCCCCTTATTTTTGGCTATCTAGTTTTCCCAGCACAGGAATTATTTCATAAGGGAAGCTGTCTGCTCTTACTGGGCCCTTCCCTGCTGAAATAGGCTTTTCCCCCATAACAACATGCCACCTGTTTCATAGAGCTATACGCAATTGTAATTTCATACATATTTGTAAATTTCTATAACCCTCTCTTCTGTGCCTTTTATTCTCTGTCATCATTTTACTCTATGGCCAGCCATAGTGCTTGGCATATCATGGTGGTGCAGTAAATTTGTTTTGTTTAGACAGAGTCTTGCTTTGTAGTTTTGGCTGGCCTTGAACATACTGTGTACCCCACCCTGGCCTCAAACTCTTGGTGATCCTCCTGCCTCAGCCTCCTGAGTACAGAGTTTACAGGTGTGCACCACTATGCCTGTCACTGTGGCTCAGTAAATGTTGAGTGAATGAATGAATGAAAGTGGAGGAGGCTTTGAGAGGGTTCAAGATTTAATTTTGAGGTGGGTGTGGTGGCACATGCCTGTAATTCCAGCGCTGTGGGAGGCTGAGTCAGGAGGACTGTACATTTGGATTGTCAGTTTGGATCTCCAACCTGAACAGTTTGGCAAGTTAATGAGACTCTGTCCGAAAATTTCACAAAGGGCTGGGAATATAGCTCAGTGTTAAGGTGAGAGTGTGAAGGTTTAACTGGGGATTGGATTCAGGGCCTGGCAGATGCTAGGCAAGTGAGCCACAATCTCAGCTCAGGTAAACATGCATATATAGATCACCAGCAGATAGACGTTATTTTAAGCAATGGGGTCCATAAGTTTACAGATGAGAATGTGTGGAGTTAGAGGGGAAAAGGGCCGGGACTAAGCAGAAACCTCCACATGTAGGTGTCAGGAGGGAACAGAGAGGTGGAGGGAACTCAGGAATGTGGGGTTAAGGAAGGACAAAGGTGAGGAGGTTCACAGAAGAGGGAAATCACTGTGCCACCGTGCTGTTAGAAGATAAAGACAGGTAAGTGAGCAACATTGAGGCACTAATGTTTTTGATCAGAGCAGTTTTGGCAGACTGGCAGAGATAAAATGTGGGCTGGAGTGGACTGAGTGAGAAGCAAGTGGGGGCAGAGTGTACTTGGATGGCTTTGTGACTTTAGAGGAGACTTTAGTTAGAATAAATAAGTTAATATCAACAGTACTTAATGGGACATGGGATTTTGATTTTTTTTCCTTCCTGTTGGCTGTCTCTTCAGAGTATATCTATGATGTGACCACTTTTTACCACCTTCACTACAGCTCCCTGGTCTGAGCCACCATCACCTCTCATGGCTTTCTTTTTTTCTTTCTTTTTCTTTTCTTTTCTTTTTTTTTTTTTTTTTTTTTTTTTGGTACTGGGGATCAAACTCAGGACCTTGCAGGCTCAGTGCCTCTGAGCCAAATCCCCGGATCATGGCTTTCTAACTAGTCTCCCTGCATCTGCCCTTGCTCCCCATAGTCTGCTGTGAATACACGGTCTACTGTATAAAAACATGAGCCTACTTACTGCTCTACTTCTCTTACGACACTACTGACCCATGCAGAAGCCCTGAAATCCTTTCGCCTAGAAGGCCCTATGTGACTTGACTACTTTCTCTTACCTTCCTATGGCTGGTTCATTGTCTATTGCTCTGTCTTCTATTACTGTCTCTTCTCCTTTCTATGATGCAGTCATATCAGCTTCCTTGCTATTCCTCCAGTTTTCCCAATAAGCTCTTCTCTTAGGGCCTTTGCACTGGGTGTTGCCACTGCTGTGTTTTAATAGATACTACCTTGGCTATCTCAAATCTATGCTTAAGTGTTATCTTCTGGGGCTGAGGGTACAGCCTTGTGGTAGAGTGTATTTAGCTTGCATGAAGCCCTCCCTCCACCCCACATTAGCATTGAACCTGCCTTGACTTCTCTATTTAAAATTACGACCCAGCCAGGCAAAGTTTTCCCAACATGCTATTTAATTACTTACTTGTTATACTTATTGTCTTTTTGCCTGTGTTCCCTCACTAGACTGAAAGCTCTGCTGAGCAGGAATTCTTTTTATCTATTTTGTTTTTTAATGTATCCCTAGTAGCTGGCACACACTAGGTCCTTAGAGGATATGATTACATGAATAACTGAGCAAGCACACTTTTTATGATTAGAGAAAAGGAAAGCAAATGACCATTGACTGGAAGGAAGAAGGAATACCTGCCATGGATGACGAAAAGGACTTTCTCCCCTTAATGTCTGACCTGTGTTTTCTCTTTCTCAGACATAGCAAAGGAGGAATGATCCTGAATAGCCTTTCTCTATGCTACCAGAACAAACTCATCTTAGCCCCTATGGTTCGGGTGGGGACTCTCCCAATGCGGCTGCTGGCTCTGGATTATGGAGCGGACATTGTTTACTGTGAGGTAAGGACTGCTGGTTTTCTGGGACAGCTTTCCCACAAGTGCAGCCTCCCGTTTAGGGGTAGGGGTGGTCAGGGGTTGGGAAGGCCAACGGGAATTCCCCTTCTGTGTTCTCACTGAGGGCAAGAGGGGATGAATATGCATGATACTGAGTTCCTTAGGACCTGCTGAGGGCCAGCAGCCTGGGGAGCGCAGATGTGTTCTGGGTGATGTTGGGCTGGGTGGGTAGATGAGCATCCTTCTGGGCCATTGCCCAGTGTATGTCTGTGAATAAACCCAGACTTAGGAAGAAGAGGAAAATGACCAGATTCAGTCTAAAGAAGCCAGATAAGGTTGATTTTGGTAGCCATAGGAGTTTTTGGTGGTGAAAACTAGTAGGCCAATAAATATACTCACCCACTGCTCTGGAGAGTATTAGGTCTTTATTCCTAGGTTTGGAAAGATCTGCAAGGAAAAAGAATTATAGGAGTACCTGATACTAGATAGTGAGTGTGGGCAGTAGCCTTCATTTGAACTTGCAGCAGAATTATCTGGGGAGCTCCGCTCAAATCCCAGTTCATTTCTGCCCCTACCATGGCCATCCTACTAGTTCCCTCTGTTAGATCTAGTAGTGGTAAAAGCTTTAGGCCTTCTGAATGATCAGCAAATCCATTTTGGGTCAAGGTTCTAGGATTTGCTAAAGATAAGTAAAAGTGGTGGCGCCTAATTACCATATTCACTTGCTTCACCCCTTTGGCTTTCACTGTTCCTGAGACCTCAGAAAGTGGGTTTGTATTTACTGGAAAGGATTTGCAGTGCAACACTGGGATGGAAGAAAGCAATGGTTCTTGTAGCACAGGGCCTGCTCTAGACAGCCATACTTCTGTGACATCCCTGGGAAATCCGGCTGCACAGTGGAAGCAGAGCTGCCACACTATGTAGAGCTGTGCTGTGAGGTTTCAACCTTCTATCAGCTAATTCTTTGCATACTCTGAGGGTTGTTTTTAAGCCCTTTGAAAGTTAAGGGTCCAAGATTTATGTGATGGCTTTAGGATATGGCCCTTCTAATTGGGCAAAACTTGGTTTTCCAAGTAAAAGTGACCAATCCTTTATTTCAGTAAGATTTATTCCTCAAGTTTGGAGCAGAAGAATTACTGAACACTGTAGAATTGTTTGAGGTGCTCTACTCTGAGAGTTCAGGTGGCTTAGGAACAAATAAAGAAGTCTCTAGGGGAGGGTACCTAGCCCTTCCAGGCAGACCTAGCCCCTAAGGAGAGCAAGCAGAGTAGGCAGGCAGATAGGCCCCTGCTTGGCTTAACTAAATGGCTGGGGACTGCCCTGTGAGGATTGGGTGTGACACTGTAGTGTGGTGCCTGGTGCCCCCTGGTGGATCCATAGTTGCTCTGCAGAGCAATATCTTTGGCCCCTCTGAGGGTTTATTTTTTTATTTTTTTCCTCATTGAGCTTATTGGTACATTTTAGGTATACAGTACAGTTACATTCATCATTGGGATCTTGTACCTTTACATGATAGGTCTTGGTTCTCATTTTTTCCCCTTGTCCCTGCCCTCCCTTCACCCCCCCACCCCTCCCCATTTACAAACACTTTATTTCCATTTTTTTGTTTCCGCCTGAGGGTTTAGGTAGTCAAACCAACCTTCCCACCTTCTGTGGAACCTAGGGGCATACTAGGCACACAGTGACTACCTTAGTCCCACAACACCTGGAGGATAAGCCTGTCAGCAGAAGTCAAAGAAGCTGTAGTCCTTTGTCACCAGAGTCCGCTCCATAAGTCATTTAGATGTGTCCGAGAAGTCACATTTCTGTTCCTTTTTATAACAGTGGGACTAGGGATATCTTCCTGTTAGACTTAAACCTTACAATAAGTAGGATCAAAGGAGAAGGTGCTGTGTTCTGGAGCACCATAATGAGTGATTTTTTTATACTTTTTTTTTTTTTTTTTTGAGGTACCAGGGATCAATCTTAGGACCTTGTACTTGCAGGGCAGCTGTGGTGCCACTGAGCTAAACCCCCGGCCCATGCGTGATTTTTTTTTTAAGTTTTTTGGGGGCTGAGGGCATAGCTTAGTGGTGAAATGCTTCTTAGCATGTACAAGGTCCTGAGTTCAATCCCCTGCACTGTTACCATCACAAAAATTTTGTTTTTGATAAAACAAAAACAAAAAAACATAAGATTTACCATTTTGATTATTATCTTAGCCATTTCTAAGTATGCATTTCTCATAGTATTAAGTATATCCCGCCCCCCGGTTTTTTTTTTTTGATACCTGGGATTGAACTCAGGATCTTGCACTTGCAAGACAGCCGGCGGAACCATTGAGGTAAATCCCGGCCCCTATATTCGCATTATTGTAAAACAGATCTCTGGAACTTGTTCATCTTGCAAAGCTAAAACTTTGCCCATTAAATAGCAACTCCTTATTTCCCTCCTCTCAGCCCCTGGTAATGATCCATTTTCTGTTTTTATGAATTGGACTACTTTTGAATCTTCAATAATGGAACCATACGTTATTTATAATTTTGTGATGGGCTTATTTCACTTAGTAAACACTAAAAGCTCATGCATGTTGTGGCGTGACAGGATTTTCATCCTTTAAGACTGAATAATATTTCATTGTATGTGTGTACCACATTTTGTTTATCCACTCATCCATCAGTGGGCGTTTGTGTTGCTTCTTCCTCTTATGATGTGCAAACAAGACAAGGCTGCTGTGCACAATGAATATATCCCCAGAATGATAGTTAATTATTCATTTACCTATTACTTATTTTGAGACAGGGTTTCACTATATAGTTCATGCTGGCCTTGAATTCACTATATATCCCAGATTGGCCTCAAACTCATGAAGATCCTCCTGCCTCAGCCTCCCGAGTGCTGATATTACAGGCGTGCACTACCATGCCTGGCTCTTATTTTTTAATTTTCTGAGGAATGTCCATATCTTTCTTGTAATGGGTACTGGTACCCCATTTTACAGTTCTTTTTTTTTTTTTTTTTTTTTTTTTTTTTTTTTTTTTTTTTTTTTTTTTGGTAACGGGGATTGAACTTGGGTCCTTGTGCCTGCAAGGCTGGCCACCGAACCACTGAGCTAAATCTCCAGCCCCTGGTTTCACAATTTTTAGAAGTGTACAAGGGTCCCAATTTCTTCATATCCTCAACACTTATTTTGTCTTTCTATAGTAGTACCCATACTAATGACTATGAGATATATCTTATTGTGGTTTATTTCTCTGGTAATTAGTAATATTGAATATCTTTTCATATGCTTGTTGGCCACTTGTATGTCATCTTTGTCTAGAATGGATAATTTTTTAAAACTTTAAAAGAGATAATTTCAAATTTACAGAAGTTGCAAAAATAGATAAAGAACATCTGCATGCCTTTTATCCAGATTGACCTACACTCAACATTTCACTTGATTTGTTTTATAATTTGTGTGCTTAGTTCTTTTCTTAACTATTTGAGAGTAAGTTTCATACATTGTGATGTCTTATTCCCTCTTTACTGATGTCATCTAAGAATAAGGTTATTTGCCTGTAAAACTATCATACAGCTATCGCCTTCCATAAATTGATGTATGTTCCTTTCCTAATCTACCTTCCATATTCTAGTTTTGTCATTGAATCAATGTGTCTTAGCATTTTGTTTGCTGTTTTTAGAGACAAAGTCTCACTATATAGTTCAGGCTGGCCTCGAACTTGCTATGAATGTATATCCCAGGCTGTGTTCCTCAACCTCCTGAGTGCTGGGGTTACAAGAATGCTCCACCATGCTAGGCCTTATAACATTAAAAAAATATATATATCTTTATTAGGATATGGTTCCAATACCTCAATGGAATTCACCAACTTTAAGTGTATAATTCAAGGACTTTTAGTATATTTACAGTTTCTCATCCAGTCAACTTTCAGACATTTTTGCAACATCAAAAAGAAATGTAGTTGGACATGGTGGCACATGCCTGTAATCCCATCTACTTAGAAGGGTTTAATTCCTAGTACCACAAAAAACAAACCAACTAAAAAACTCTTTCTTTTGCTAGTTGCACTCCTGTAATCCCAGTACTCAGGGGGCTGAGGTAGGAGAATGGTCAAAGTTCACTGCCACCCTCTGCCTTATAGAGAGTCCAAGGCCAGTATGACTTGTAGCAATAAAAAAACCAAAAAACAAAACCATCTCTCTCTTTTTGACTTTTAGGAGTTTTATTTTGATGTGTATAGTGTGAATCTCTGAATATATTCTACTTGGAGTTTGTTGAGTTTCTTGGATGTATAGATTAATGTTTTTCATCAAATTTGGGGAAATTTCTGCCATTATTTTTTCAAAAAGCCCTCCTATCTCTTAGAGGACTTCTACTGCATTATGCACGTGTTTGTGTGCTTAATCGCATCCCACAGATCTCTGACACTCTGTTTATTTTTCTTAATTTTTTTTTCCTTTCTGGAGACTTCATAAGCAAATTTTAGTAGCTAAATGATGTCTTTCCAGTCTGAGATGTGGCTGTCAGTTCCAAGGCCTGTCACCATCTTCAGGAAGAGCCCATATAATGAGACTCAGTTGCCTGCAGGTGGCTGTAGTGGCTGCTCAAGGTGTAAGGCTGATGGGAGTCTCTTCACACAGGCTTTCACTCTGGAAGACTGAAGAGAGTGCTGTTCCCCCATCGCCTTCAGAGTTTTCAGTCCATAGTTGCTTGGTTCCATTGTTTCTGGGGCAGTGGTGAGGCAGAAAATCAGGGCTAAGAAGGTGTGTCATGGAAAGCTGTGCACTTCTTGGCTGCTGAAGCAAAGAAAAAAGAAATAGCCTCTTTCTGGTTTTTAATTTGGACAATCCCAATTGACTTAACTTTGCTGATTATTTCTTTAGCCTGCTCAGATCTTCTGTTGGGCCCCTCTAGTGAATTTTTTTACTTCGATAATTTTATCTTTAAACTTCAGAATTTTTATTTGATTCTATAAAATAATTTCTTTATTCATATTCTTTTTTTGGTGATACATTGTTCTTGTACATTCCTTTAGGTTTTCTTTTTTGTGTTTTGATTTGATGTTACTGGGGATTGGATCCATGGAGCACTGAGCTATCTTCCCAGCACTTCTTATTTTATTTTATTTGGAGACAAGAATCCTGCTAAATTGCCCAAGCTGGCCTCAAAATTAAGAGCTTTCTGCTTATCCCTCCTGAATAGCTGGGATTACAAGCATGTACCACTGTGCCCAGATTCTTCAGTTATTAACACATGGTTACTTCATTTTTGAACTTATTTAAGGTAGTTGATTTAAATAGTGTATATCTAATAAGTCAGTACTTATTTTTTTTATGTATATGGGCCATACTTCCTTGGTGGTTTTTTTCCATGTCTCATAATTTGTTGTTGTTGTTGTTGTTGTTGAAAACTGGATGTTTTAAATAATATAACATGGCAACTCTGGAAATCAGATTCTTTTTCCACCCAAGGATTGGTTGGTTATTTAGTAACTGTTCTGAATTAATTTTGTAAAGTCCGTAGTTTTTGTTATTTGTGACCAATGAAATCTCTGCTTGGGTAGCTTAATGGTCAACTAATAATTGTCTAGTGATTTCCACATTACAACCAATGAATTTCCTAGACTTCCTTAGAGTCTTGCTATGCTTTATCCTGCTTGTGTCCTTGCTGAAGCTCAGCCTGGCCAATAAGCTTCCTTTTTTGAGAACAAGCCATTCAGTGTTTCTGACTTGACATCGTGCTTGGTTGTTTGGGGGTGGTACCAGAAATTGAACTCGGGACTTTACGCTTGCAGCGGAACCACTGAGTTAAATTCCTGGCCCATGTGCTTATTCTTTTAACTAAGACAACTGGTTATAGGCTCCCTGAGTTGGGCTTTCTGAGTTGGATTCTGAGTTGGGTTACCACACTGATTCTTGGGGCTTGGCTGCCCATCATGTGCTTACATTGTGTGTTTGGTCAGGCCTAATGGGCATAAGATGCTCAGTTACTTGAGTGTTGCCTGGAGAGAATAGCTGCAGAAACACCTTGAACATATATTAAACCAGATGGTGGATTTACTTAAAGGAGCCCCTTGGATGCCATAAGAGCCCTTTGGCTGTGTTATCCCTGATAATCCATGTATAAGTGGGGTCATTGTGTCCACCTGGCTAGGGTTGTAAGTTGCTGAGATCACAGGGAGTCAGTACGAGTATGAGTACCATGGACTAGAGTCTTCCTGTCTTCTTCTGCACACCCAGAGTTACAGGGCATAAGCTTCTTAGCAGTGTGATGGGTACTTGGCTCTTCTGACTTAAATTTCACATCTGCTGAAATGATTACTGAACAAAACAGCAGTGTTATCTCTTGAGTTAGAGAATCTCAGCCCTTCAGGACACATATGCACTCACTTTATTTTTATTCTGATTTTGAAGAACCCTTTTTCCATTTTTCCTGAGTCTGTTTGAATATCTCTGGAGTTGAAGCACTTGCCCCTTTTGTTTATACAATATGAGCCATATTGGAGAGACTTTCTCTCCTATTTTCATCTCAGATTTTCTTTCCTGCTAATCTAGTCCCTCATCTCATTACTGTCATTGGATACTTCCTGAGAGCCCTTCACTGCCTTTCCTTTACCTGGGGATTGAGGTGGTTCTTTGTGGGTGTTACTTGAGCTGAGACTCATGAGTGAAGAAAGTATCCTGATGCACAAATACTGAGCAGTTATTTTCTCCATGGTGCTCTGAGTGGCTCATCCTTTCTTGGCCTCAAACATCTCCAAAGTCCCTAGGAAGACCAGCTAATTAAGGGTAAGTCACTCAAAGCTCTGCTTATCATGCTTGGTTGGAGAGGACAACACATCATGTTCCAAATGCCATAGTTTGTTGTTGATAAGGGTGACTGGCCAGCCATTACCTGTCACCGGCCATGAAGGTCCTCCTCTTGTATCCAGGCCAAATGTCCAGGGCTGATGAGTGTCTTCTGATTCCTCTGCAGGAGCTGATTGACCTCAAGATGCTTCAGTGCAAAAGAGTTGTCAATGGTGAGTGCAACCCTGGCCCTCGGATTATAGGTGGGTCCAACTGGCTCAAGCAGCCCTACCATCTCCCCGCCTGGCTGTATATTAACATCATTTAGATCATGTGCTGTCTTGAGGGAAGTCATTGCTGTCCACAAAAAGCCAGATGTGAAGCAGGCTAAGAATGCCCTCTCTCTGGCTTTGTGGCATAGAAATGATCCTGTTTCATAGTATAGAAGGTTCTCTAGGATACTTGGAGGCAGGATGGCTTCAGCATTGGGTCTGTCTTAGTCATTCAGTAGGTTTGTGTTTTAGTCACCTTTCTGCCAGTGGGATGAAATACCCAATACCCACAACTTGAAGGAGGAGTTTTATTTTGGTTCACAGTTTCAGTGGTTTCAGTCTATGGTCACCAGGCTCCAGTGAAGAAATAGCACAGTGGAAAGACCTAAGTGAAGAACAGCTGCAGAGGTCAGGACAGCTAGGAAGCAGAGAAGGAAGATGCTGGGGAGGAAGACATACTCTCCCAGATTATACCCCTATCCAGGCCCCTATCTCCTAACAAGTCTGCTAGGAACTCATCAGTGTACTAATCCACTTGTGAATATAGAGACCCCATGATCCAGTGTCTTCCAAAGCCTTGCCTCTAACACATGAGGCTTTTGGAGGACATTTTCATTTGATGTTTTAAAAAATTTATTATTATTAATACATGTTTGCAGTACGTAATGATTACATTCACCATGGGGAGTTGTTACATGTACATACCACATCTTAATTCTTTTTACTTTGGGGAGCATTCTAGACCTAAACACAGCAGTGTGTGACTTTGGACAAGTCATATAACCTCTGTACCTCCTTTGCTTATGAGTAAAATGTAAATCATAAGCCTTGCTATAATTCAGTTACAGAGTTGGAATGAGAATCAAATAAGGTACTAGTAAGTACTTTGTACAACATAAGCTCTGTGCATATGGAAGTGGTTGTGTTGCATTGTGGTTTTCTTTATACTTTCTTAATTCAGCTTTGATTAGAGTTGTAATCTTTGAGGTTTTGAAGATATAGGCTGATTTAAAATAAAAGTATATTTTTAAATTTTAAAAAATTTACAGTAAAAGACACATTGTCATTAATTACTCTCAAAATACTCTGTCATTTCAGACACACTTATCCTTTGTTCTTGCCATTTCCTGAATTAGTTCTAGAAGTAGGTTTGTGTTTTAGTCACCTTTCTGCCACTGGGATGAAATACAAAGTATGATTAAAAAACACACACACACAGTAAATGGAGCTGCCTAGTGCCATCCAACAGAAAGGCAGGCTCATAAAAACATTATGGCGTGTCCTTATCCACCCTATTCACTGGCACCCTTTACATCTAGCACTATGCAACTTCTGGCTCTTCCCCAAAGTCACAAGGACTGTGAAAGGTAGAAATTTTGAATTGATTCCAGACATTCAAACAGCTATGACAGCACAACTGAAGATACTCACAAAAGAGAACTTCCAAAAGTGCTTCAGACAAGAACAACAGGATAAGTATGTTCAGAGTGTGTGTGTTGGGTGGGTATTTCAAGGGTTATTATCGCTTCTTGGCCTTTTGGCTAAGATCAAGTGTAGTATCAAGGGTTATTAATGGCAATGTGTCTTTTGTGGGGGGTTAGATTGTCTTTTTTTTAAGCAAAACATTTATTAATACATTTCATTTATACATAATAACACTCATCACAGGGAATTTGTACCTGTACATGATATATCCTGCCTCTTCTTTTTTTTTCCCTTCTGTTCCCTCAAGTCCCTCTCCCCTCCTTATATGCAAACAATGTTTCCATTTTTTTCCTTTTCCTTTTCCTTTTTTGCTTATCCCTTCCTTCCTTTTTCCCTCCGCCCTCCTTTGTTCTCTTTCCCATTTGAACATTTTCCTTCCATTTCCCAATATCTATTATATATTTTAGTCCTTATTTCCACTTTCACTCTCTCACACCAGAGAAACAATGCAGTATTTAAATTTATGTGTTTGATTTCTTTCACTTAAGAGTATATGGTCTCAAGGTGTATCCTTTTAGCTATAAATGTCTCAAGCTCATACTTCTTTGTGGCAGAGTAGTACTCCATTGTATCTATCTATTTATTTATTTATTTTGGTACTGGGAATCGAACTTGGGTCCTTGTGCTTGCAAGGTAAGCAGCAGAACCACTGAGCTAAATCCCTAGCCCCACTCCATTGTATTTAAAAATCTACATCTTCTTTATCCATTCCTTAGTTGATGGGCATTTGTGCTATTTCCAAGATTTAGCTATTACAAACTGAATGGCAATGTGTCCTTTTTGTTTTGTTTTTGTTTTTGGTACCAGGGATTGAACTCAGGTCCTTGCTCTTGCGAGACAGGCAGTGGCACCACTGAGCTAAATCCCCAGCCCTGACTAATAAATTTTTAAAAATTTTTAAACATTCACCATATTTTTAGAGCATACATCTTATGTGTTTGTGTTCATAAAATCTTAGTATAATTTCAAGATGTTTTGACTCAATTTTGCCTGGTTTAAATTTATATTTTTGGGTTTGTTGGATTTATATAATCTAGAAAATGAAATCTTCCACAACCTTATACTTAAACAGGTAATCACAAAGAGGAATAATGTATATCTCCCTACAAACACAGTATGAATAATGAATATATGAATATAGTCTTTCTCCTCCCATGAGATCATGTAGAACATGTTGTTTTGCTACTTAGATTTTTGTGTATATGTGTGTGGTGCTGGGGTTTGAACCATGGTGATGAGTTATATCCCCAGCCCTTTTTGTTTTAACACAGGGTCTCCCTAAATTGCCCAGACTGGCCTTGAATTTGTGATCCTTCTGTCTCAGTCCCCTCAGTTCCCAGGGACTCAGCCGGGCCTCCCACTTACTTTTCTACTAGGACATTTTCCTATGTCAGTACCTTTAGGTGACTTTGTTAGAAATTTTTTCACCAGGGCTTTAACAGAGGTTTCTAATATTTTGCTATTATAAATAAAGCTGCATTAGAAACACAGCAAGTTTTTGTTGCTTTTCAGAATTTTAAATTCTTTATCAGAGACCACCTTGATTACTTCTCTCAAGGTATCTTTGCCTTTGCCCCACCCTTTTTAAGCCTTCTGATCTGCTCAGTGCTTAGAAAATAATTACTGCTTCCCCTTATGGAGGTACTTTATATACTTAAAAGATCCTTTGTAGCTGGATATGATGTTGCATGCCTGTAATTCCAGCACTCTGGGAGGCTGAGGCAGGAAAATCACAAGTCTGAGTCCTTCTTGGACAAGTTAGACACTTTCCAAAAAAAAAAAAAAAAACCTTAAAAAAAAAGGTAGGTATGTAGTCGAGGGCAAAGGCTCTGGGGCTCAATCCCCAGTACTGAAACAAACAAAAAATCTTCATATGTTACATTTCTGAGAACAGCTTTCAAGGTAGGCATCATTCATCTGCCATGTTGGATCTCTTTCATATAGTGGTCACCTTTGAAAGTTAATAACGATAGCACCAATTATAGAACTTTGTTAGGAAGGGCCGATGAGATACAGTTTATTTTTGTTATTTGTGGTAGTTAAGTTCTATAAAGTTGCTGAGAATATTGAATTCATGAATACTGAACTAATTGACCCAAGGTGGAATAGAGGATTAGGTTCTTGCAAGCCTCTGGTCACATTTTCATTGCCTGGTCAATATATACTTTATCTTATATGTAGTTTTGCTCCAAAATATGCTACTTATTTATTTGGTGGTAGGGATTAAACCCAGGGCATTATTTATGCTAAGTACATGTTCTGCCAGACATGCTACTTAATGTGTGCCATCGATTCATTAGCATTGAACTCATAGCCAATAGCACCACAATCTCATGCTTAAGCAAAGCTTATCTAATTCAAGTATTTTGTCTGTAAGGCTAATCACAGACTTCTTGTGCTTAGGAACACAGGGCAGTGCTTCATTACTATGATTGGAACCATTTTATTGAGTCAGTAATATAAAAATTAACTTTTAATTCATAATGCCTAGTAATGGCCACCAAATGTACCAGATAGTACAATGTGAAGTCCTTCTCTAAATTAAGTGCTTTCAAGAAAATAATAAAGAGGGTTGGGGATTTCGCTCAGTGGTTCCACTGCCTGCCTTATAAGTGCAAAAGCCTATTATCTGCTGTGCATTGTATTTCTCTAGTAACGAAAAGAAGTAATATGTCTTCAGGAAGTAAATCTTTCAAAATATGGTGCTCTATCAATGCTGACCAAATAAAGTTGAGCCCATGCCTTTGATAAAGCTCCTAATTGAGATGGCTGTAACAGGCTGGTACAGATACTCAATTTCCAGGGCCTTCTTGGAGTTATGTTAAACAGTAAGATCAACAAAAAGCACACCGTGCAAAAATAAAGGACTAAATATACCATAAAAAGGACACTTTTTTCAATATGAGAGACGAAACAGTAAGAGCATCACCTTATTTGACTTCAGCTGGAAATGTGTGTAAGGTGACTCAAATTTCAAGCCACTTTTGTGCCTGTCCATGAATGACTAAAAAATAGCATAAGTATTGATTTAGGAATTATAAATAAATTTTAATGAATAGTTGAATTTGCAAATAAGTAACTGTGAGTTAAACAGTAAAACTTGATTGAAATATAGTAAACTTCCATTCCCAGTTTTTGGCTTACTGTAAGTAATTAAAAAATGAGATACTAAACCCCAGAGTGCCATCTTCTGAGACAATATGAACCAAAATTGAAACATAAAGTTTCATATATGTATATTTTTTCCAGTTTTTGTTGTTGTTGTGTTTTGTTCTTTTGTAGTACTTGGAGTAAATTTATTTATTTACTATGGAACTGGGAATTGGACCCAAGGGCCTTCGCACTGATGTATATCCCCAGCCTTTTTGCTAAACTGCACAGGTTCCCAGGGTAGAATCAAACTTGTAATCCTGCTGCATCAGCCTCTCAGAGTGATGGGATTTCAAGTATGCAACACTACAAAGGCAATTCAGCATTTTAAAAATTGCAGAAATGTTAACCATTCAGAAGTACATAAAACATGCAATGTAACAAATAATTGTAAAATGAATAGCCATCATTCAGGTCAGGAGATAGACCATCAGCAGCACTGAAAAGCCTCCAATATGCATGCTTTTTAAAGAATGGTATACATCTCTAACCTTTTTGTTCCTTTCACGGCTATGCTTTTTTCTGTGCTACTTCCAGGGCTTAGGTTAGGTTGAGAATTGTGTGGTCCCATGTGTTTGTGTTTTCTTGCAGAGTTGCTCAGCACAATCGACTTTGTTGCCCCTGATGATCGAGTAGTCTTCCGTACCTGTGCAAAAGAGCAGAACAGGGTGGTCTTTCAGATGGTAAGAGACTGCAGTGTTCAGTGCTCTCTAGAGGCTTCTCATCCTCCAAGATTGCCTGACTTGTATCCAAAGCCAGACAGCATTGGATGCCTGGCCTGCATTGCACAGTGGTATCTTTCTGAAGACTTGGCTTGAACATTTTTCAAAGATTCATTCACGAATGCTTACTCTATTGGAGACGATTTATGGAAATCAAGCTGGCACAGTCTGTTAAACAACTCTGGTCTTAGATATAATTTACTTAATTATACAAATTATCTGTTTGGCCTGACTTCTATATTTAGTTTTTTTTTTCTTAGTATCAATTATTTATGTCATAGTGTGTGTATCTGTACATATTTCCCATCAAAAGGAATTAGATTTTTCTCAAGCTGGGCATGGTGGTACATGCCTACAGTCTTAGCTACTCAGGAGTCTGAGGCAGGAGGATTGCTTTAGCTCATGAGTTTGAGACCTGCCTGGACAATGTAGCAACCCTATCTTAAAAACAAACAAAAAAACACACATCTAGGATATAACTGAGTGATAGAGAACTTACCTAGCATGCAGAAATTCCTGAGTTCAATCCTTAGAATTTAAAAAAAATTAGGTTTTCTGAAGAGTAGCTAAAATGAGTTAGAGTTGTAAGGACTCTTTGGCTCTCCTCTCTTGGACATTACTTGGTGCTTTTTCAGAAATAGCTCCTGAATGATGTTTAGGCTTTTTAAAAAATTAGTTAACAGTGGGTAGATATGTAATAAAACACATACAGAAAAATGTTAATTGTAAAAACTAAGTGGTGGTATCTGAATGTTCACTATAATTTTTTTTTTTACAATTTTTGTATGTTTGAAAGTAGCCACAGCATTAATGGCATTGTGTAAGCCCTCTAGGCCCACCACCTATTTCCTTTGGCAGTAAGCTAGTCTGTTGGGCTGACTGTTAAGAGAGAGCTGGCCTGACTCACTTGTTGGTGTAAGTATGTGTATGAGATACACATGGATGTGTTTGTGTATATACATGTACCAGTGTCCAGCAGTGGTTGATGAAGGCTCTTGTGTTTCCAGGGCACTTCAGATGCAGAGCGAGCCCTTGCTGTGGCCAGGCTTGTGTAAGTTTCTGTCTCCTTGGAGCCCTCTTTCTCCTGTAAGCGGTGAGACCTTAATGTCACTAATGACCTAGGAGGTAGCCTGGCTTTCTTCCTCCTGGCCTGTTACCTTCTGTTTTCAGGTGAAAAGTGTGGAGCTTCTGTGTTTGTGGCATCTGAAGGCTGGCCCTGGACTCATGCATACCCAGTATGCCCAGACGCCAGGTCCCTCTGGTGGGGGCCCTGATTTTAGTGTTTATTCATTGGGCTTCCATTCCAGGGACTCTCCTGTGAGCCCTGAGGGTTTAACTCATATGAAGTGTAGGTAAGACTTATTTCCTGAATTAACAAAGCCAGGAAAGAGTGTTATTGTTAAAGTGATAGGCTTTGGAGTTAAGGTACACCTGGGTTAGTGTTCTGGTTTTACTGCTTGTGAGCTGTGTGACCTTAGTTTACTTAACTTCATGGAGAACTTAGTTCCCTTATCTATAAAATGATACCAATAGTACTACTAACCTCTGGCATTATAAGGAATGGTAAATCAAATAATACATGTGAATGGATGCAGCATGTGGTACATCATGAGTACTTAGTGTTAGCTCCTGTTTTTTGTGGGTTTGTTTTTGTTTTTGTTTTTCTGTTTTTTTGAGACAGGGTCTCACTATGTAGTTGAGACTGACCTAGAACTCACTATGTAGCCCAGGCTGGTCTCGAACTCACAGCGATCCTCCTGCCTCAGCCTCCCAAGTGCTGGGATTACAGGCATGTGCCACCATGCCTGGCAGCTCCTGTTATTAATGACAGTGCCAGTAAGAAGGAACTCAGGCAGTAATTGCTGTTGATCACAGACCTAACTTTCTCAAAAGCGGAGGATGAGATGAAGGTCCTTTCCATATCTGAGATGTGTGAACCAACTGTGCAGCCTAGCAAATAAAAGCAGTCCTATACCTTCTTCCAGATGCTCTGGAATGGGCTTTTCTACTCACGTCACTTTTCTGCATTGACAGATGGTTTTTGATAGCCCAGTGAAAACTGCAAACCAAGAATGGCATTCAGCTTTCTTAGTGTTTGAATTGTCTGATACAGTGTCAGTGCAGCAAAGTCCTCTGCATCCAGCTCTTTGAGATGTATGTGCACATTTTATCTTTCCTCTGGAGCTCTACTCAAATGAGGCAGTTGTACATTTTAGGGATAGACTTCTTTCCTGACTCTCAGCTTCTGTCACTGAGATTTGATGTGTTTCATGGGCCTAGGGACACAGTGAGAGGCTCATGAATACAGACCTATTGATGCCTTTGCTCTACTTTCTTCCCTCAAGTGGAATATGTATTATCTTTTTTTTTCCTTTGTGTTTTTCCAGAGAAAATGATGTAGCTGGTATTGATGTCAACATGGGCTGTCCAAAAGAATATTCCACCAAGGTAAACGGGATTCTTCATATTCTTCACAAGTATACTATGGAGATTAAAGGAGGCTAAAAAGGCATGGAAGCTAAAACAGTACCTGACTCTGGACTAGATCCTGTATAGGATGGGGAATCTGCTCAAAAGAATATTATTAGATCAATGAACAAAATCAGAATAGGGACCAGAATAGATCAGCTATTTAGCTCAGTGGCACCATGCCTGCCTTACAAGCACAAGGTCCTGAGTTCAATCCCCGGTACCAAAAAAAAACCACCACAACAAAAAAAGATACAATATCAAACTAAATTTATGAAGTTGACAACTTTTCTGTGCTTATGTAAGAGAATATGCCTACTTTTACAAAATACACACTGAAATGCTTATGGGTAGAGGACTATGATATGAGTAATTTACCCTCAAATGAGTTATGAAAAAAAAATTTTAGCACTGCTGGGGATCAAACCTGCATGCTAGGCAAAGCACTCTGCCACTGAGCTACACCCAGAGCTCAGAAAAATTTTATGTACTTGCATATACACATTCACACTCACTACACCCACACCTATACACATATGCATATAGAGGAAAACAGAGAGTGCTGTCATAACCAAGTAATAAAACAAATGATGAAAAAAATAGAAATACAGCTTTATCTTTTCATGAATAAAACAGAGAAACACTTTTTAAAAATGGAAAATGCAATACAGTTCTCCCCATGGTTGTATCAGAACAAACCAGACTAGAATGTTATGGTAGTCCAGAGAAGGAATGGAAGGCAGAGCTTAAATTTGTGATCTTGTAGGGAAATGTGATCTTTGAGGAGGAGATTTGGGACCCTGCAAGCAGAGGGAGTGGCACAGGCAGGGATTTGTTGGCCAATATAAGGTTGAGACAGAGCTGTGGGGCGCTAAATTTGACTACAGTGCTGGGGAGTGGAAAACAAAGGAAAAGCAGAGGACCAGAAGATTGAGAACTTCAGTTGGGGACAGTCGGCTGGACTTGGACTTTAGATATTTTTGGCCTTTTTTGGGTAGAGAAGACATGTGATACACTTTGCTTTAGAAATTATTATTATTATTATTATTATTATTATTATTATTATTATCATTATCATTATTTTGTATAATTTTGTATAAATTGAACTCGGGACCTTGTACTTGCCGGGCAGGTGCTGCAGCACCACTGAGCTAAATCCCCAGCCCATGCTTTAGAAATTCTAATCCGGCCAGACATGGTGGTGCACACTTGTATTCCCAGTTCTTGGGAGGCAGGAGAATTGCCACAAGTTCAAGGCCACCCTGGGCTATATAGTGAGCTCAAGGCCAGCATGAACTACATAGTGAGACTCTGTCTCAAAAAACTAAGAAAGAAAAGAAACAAATACTAATCTGGAATTCATATGTTTAGTGGATTAGACTGGCAGGAGGCTAAGGTGGAAACCTAGACAATGGAAGATGAGTCCTGTTGTCTTCAGCACAAACTAGGGATAGGGCTGGGATTTAGCTCAGGGGTTCCGCTGCCTGACCCACAAGGACCTCAGTTCGATCCCTGGTACCAATAAAGAGAAAGAAAAGAAACCAGGGATAGACAGAGTCCAAGCTAGAGTAGAGTTTGACAGAGTTTGGCTGGCAAATGACCAGACTGACAGGCAGGAGATGTAATGTGGGTACAAGGAGGAAAGAATGGCAGCTGGGAAGATAACTGGTCTTTAGCTGTGATCAGGACTGCTGAAGAACATTTTTGGAACAGATCACAAGGGCAGCTTGAGGTTGCTGAGTGTGAGTCACTAGGAGGGACTCTTGCAGCAATGCGCCTGGGATCCTAATGGCAAGGTGAGTAGAAGGTCTGCAGTGTAGATACAGCAGATGTCCTCCTGACCTGTTGTCCAGAGTGAGCTACTCTGCTCTCAGGAGTTACCCAGCCCAAGGACTTAAGCTTTACACCAGGAGGCTGCAGACTACCTGCTTGCTTGAGGGAAAGGCCCTGTGAATGCTTGAAAATGAATCTGGGCATTGTGGCATGCACCTGTAGTGCCAGCACTCTATGAGTACTGAGGCAGGAGCCAGGGCACTTTACTGACTTACAAAGATAATGTCTCAAAATAAAAAAATAAAATACAGAGTTTAGGATATAGTTCAATGCAAAGGTCTTGGTTCAACCCCCAAGACTGTAAAAAAACAAAAACAGAAAAACACAAAACAATCCACCAAGGAATGATCTCTCTGATACACTGTAGAGTGAAAATAACGTGAGTTATATATAGTATACTACCATTTATGTAAGGAAAATGGAGAATAAATTTACATATATGTATCAGTCACATGATTGATTGATTTTTGGTTTTTTGAGACAGGGTCTCACTATGTAGTTCAGACTGACCTGGGACTCACTATGTCTAGCCCATGCTGGTCTCGAACTCACAGTGATCCTCCTGCCTCAGCCTCCCAAGTGCTGGGATTACAGGTGTGCGTCACCACGCCCAGCTTATTTATTTATTTTGGCAGAAAAGACATTTATTACTAAGCTATAAATTAAGAGGCAGCGGGGTGAGGTTTCAAGAGACGAACAGTCACATTTTAGGCATCTGCCCTTTCTCTCTGTCCTCCTTGGCCTGGATTCTGAGATCCTCACTCAGGTGCTGCTTTGGATGATTTTTGACTGCAAGTAGAAGGAGCCACCATGGATTTATCATTTGCCTTACATAGGCATTCATAGTTCTTCTGGAACTGCACTCAGTCCTACTGCACTCAGTTTGGAGATTTCTAGAATCTGCTGGGCCTCTGGAGCCTGAGGCTAGAGAAGGTGGATGTAGCTGCAGACTGGTGTCCTGAATTTCCCTGAGCCTCAGCTGCCACCCGGCTGGCTGCAAATTCCTGCCTCAGGGCTGGAGCAAAGGCTTTCTGTACCACCTGTGTGCCCATCACAATGATCTGGGCCAGGTGCTGGCCCGGTGATCAGAGCCATGGCAGCTGCTCTGCCTCTGGGGTCACAGAATATATTTAGGAAGACACACAAGAAACTAGGGACATCGGTTCCCTCTGGGGAAGGAAACCTGAGTTTTATTTGGTTTCACAATAGGTAATAAATTCCCACTGCAATGGTGCTACTCAAAGTAACAACTGACCTATACTTGATACTAACTCATCAGAACTAGTATGCTATAATGATACATACCAACTGAATATCTTCTCTGTTATTGTTCAAAACTGAAACTGAAGCCAGATTAAAAATGTAGATTGAAAATTCTTCCATTCCTCAAGGAGGATTCCTTACTCTTCTTAATCTTTTCTTTTTCTTTTTTAGACAGGATGTCACTATGTAGCCCAGGCTGTCCTTGAATGCAATGACCCTACTGCCTTAGCCTCTCTAGTATTGGAATTACAGGTGTGTACTACCACGCCTGGTCACTGGGCTTTTGTTTGTTTTCTCCCTCCCCTTCACTTCATTGTTTTGTTCAGTGTTGTGGATCAAACCCAATTCCTTACACATACTACATTCATATTTTTAAAGACAGCCCCTCCCTCCAGATCATTAAAGCAATGTATACCGTGTTTTGAACTTGAGAAATGTGGAAAATTATTGGTGAATAGCACCGTCGTTAAGAGACAAGCACTGAGCCCAGAGTGGTGGCACATGCCTGTAATCCCAGCACTCAGGAGGCTGAGGCAGGAGGATTGCTGAGAGTGCGAGACCAGCCAGGGCTACATAGTGAGTTCCAGGTCAGTCTGAACTACATAGTGAGACCCTGTCTCAAAAAAAAACAAAAAAAAAGAGAGACAAGCACTGTTGTTGAGATTGAAGTGGCTTCATGAACTAGTGGTTTCCATTTGTTGAGGTTTTTGCTAGAGTTTGGCATGAAGCTGGGTCTTTTGGACTGGGACACTGTTGCTGGCAGAGAAAGGCCTATACAGGGTTTGTGCCTCTGAGAAATTTTGCTGGTGACAGTGCTGGTAAAAGGTGTGTTTAATCCATTGTAAAAGGAGATGTCTTTAAGGGCATTGGAGGTAGTGGGATTTAGTTTATTAAGGCACTGAGTATAGCATGGTAAGTCCTAAAAAATTTTTTTGTAGAACCTGCTTCCAGAGAGACCCTTGGGTTTTGTCAAGGGGATCAGAGTGATGACTTTTATTTTATTTATTTTTTTTGTACTGGGGATCCAACACTGGACCTTGCACTTGCCAGGCAGGCAGTGGCACCACTGCCAGCCCCAACTTTTAGAATTTATCTAACTACGATCCTTGATTATGTGGGCATGGATGCTGCTACATTTCTACTTGGTTAGGAAAAGTGCCAGTTGCCATTAAACCTAGGCTGTTTGCCATACCATGTTGCCGCACTACGGGGTGGTGCCCTCCTTCCCCAGCTGTAAGAAGACCTTTTGTGTGCTTCTCTTTAGGGAGGAATGGGAGCGGCTCTGTTGTCAGACCCTGACAAGATTGAGAAGGTAAGTCCTTCATGGGCGAAAGCAGAGTCCTCAAACATGGCTATGAACTAGAGTTGCCTGGAATACCTTCGTCCCTCTATTCCAGGATTCACTGAAGTCCATGTAGCCTCTCTACTTGGGGTCTGCAAAAGTTGGGTAAAGCTTCTCTGTGATTTTGATATGCATCTAGATTTGAGCCAGCCTGTAGCAGGCTTGAATTTCATAAAAGCCTTGAGTTAGGCTGTCAGCTGAGCAAGAACACTTGAGGACTTGGCTAGAGCCTCCTCTATACTGACTCTCCCTTCTAGAAGAGCATGAGAGCAAAGGCCAGCCCACCCGTGTCTATGTGTATAGAGGTGAGTGGTCTCCTAAGGAGCTGGATGTGAGCAATGCAGGGAGGTGGTCCCCTATATACTCACAGAGTCTGTCACAGCCCTTTGAGAGCAAGCCAGGCCAGAGTCATATGAAGCAAACTGAATTTAATCTTCATTTGTTCCCTGTCCCTTGCTGATTTTGTAGATCAGCTTAATAAGGCCCTGACCTTGCTACCCAATTCTATAGGCTGCCAGGGCATATGGGGGTGACATTTCTTCCACACCATACACACTTTTACTTTCCTTTTCCAGTCAACCAGTTCTCAGCTTGTTGCCCTTCTTTGCTCTTTTGTTTTCCTTTTCATTCTTGTTTTTTTTTTTTTTTTTTTTTTTTTTTTTTTTTTGTTCTTTTTTTTTTTTTTTTTTTTTTTTTTTTTTTTTTTTTTTTGTGGGTGGGGGGGTGCCATGGATTGAACTCAGGCCCTTGTGCTTGTGAGGCAGGTGGTGGAACCACTGAGCTAAGTCCCCAGCCCCTTCCTTTTCATTCTTCATCCTCATTTCCCTGTCTGGACTTTGAACCTCAAAGTGTCACCCCCAGGCTATGGTGACTTGGGTCTCAGACACTACCAGTAAGAGCTGCAATGGCTTGCGCTAGCTGCTGTAGTTCAATTCTGTATATTCTTTCAGTCTGGCTGTCTCTGGGACAGAAGGACCATAGAGTGTGTTGGCTGTGTACCTGCTCATTTTTTCCCTGTATGTAGCCACAGATAAAAGTCCCTATAATCTGTCTATAATATATTCTTACCATTTGTAGGGTAGAGGAGTTTCCTTTTCTAAGTATATTACACCATGTTTCATTTTGTTTCCAAAACATCCTTTGAAGTAGACAGAGAAGAAATTTGTTATCTCTCTCTCTTTTTTTTTTTTTTTTGAGATAGTGTCTTACTGTGTTATCCAAGCTGATATCAAACTCATGGGTTTAAGAGAGCCTCCCAAATATGGACTACCACGTCTGGCTGTTATCCTTTTGATGAAGACTAATAAACAAAAGCACACAGAGATAAAAATAATTTGCACAAGGTCGAGTTGCAAATAACTGACAGGCAGAGCCAGCATCAGAGCCATAGTCTTGTGACTCCTAACCCAGCATCAATTCCCCTTCTCAATGACATCTTAAAGGTCCTGGGATTAAGTTCCCAGCCACAGTTCAGTAGGCACCTGGACTTCCAGTTAGATACCCCTGTGCAGCATGGGGTGAAAGTCAGAATGGTCACCCTGTGTAAGAGAACGTCCCCCAGCAGAGCAGTTGTGATTCACAACATGAGCACACGGACATTTCCAATGTCCTCTGGCCTAATGCTATTGACTCTGTCACCTCCATCGCTCCTCTTTGAATGATGTGTGTTCATCCATGAGGTAGCAAAGATGCACTCTGCCTCAGAAACTTAGTTTATTCTGCTACTTATATGGTGGTGTGGTCACATGGGCCAGCTCAGATCAGTAAATGGGGTTCACCTCCTGGAAGGGAGGTTGTAGGGTTTCACAGCAAATCAAGATGTGACTTGGGCAGAGAGGGCTGGTTTCAATTCAGGGCTAGACTGTGCTCACAAACTGAACAACTGGGCAGGATATTTGTGAATTCTCTAGACTAGGTGTTTTTTACCTCTCTGCTTCTATCATAAGAGTATCTCAGGGTAGTCTACAGAAATTTCCTGAAAACTGTGTGGGATCATGAAAAACTTTGGAAATATATAGTGATGATGACTGCACAGCATTGTGAATTTAATGCCACTGAATTATGCATTTAAAAATATCTAAGTGGTGCACGGTGGCAGATAGCAGTAATTTCAACCATTCAGGAGGCTGGGGCAAGATGGATCAGTCTGGGTGACTTGGCATGATCCTGTCTCAAAATTAAAAACTAAAAAGTGCTGGGATGTAGTTCAATGATAAGTTGCTTGCCTAGAACATAAAAGCCCTAAGTTTGATCCCTAGCACCCCCACCCCCTTTTTTTTCTTGCAGGGCTAGGGATTGACCCAAAGAACTTCATACTAAGCTACATCCCCAGGCCTTTTCTTAAAATTTTAAATTTTGAAATAGGTTCTCACTGAATTACTAAGTTGCTCATGTTAGACTCAAATTTGTAGTCCTCCTGCCATAGCCTCCCAGAGTGCTAAGATTACAAGTGTGAGCCACCATGTCCGGTAAGGAGAAAAACAAAACAAAACAAAACAAAAAAAGTTTAAATGGAGACATCTAGGAATGTGAAGGTGACTTAAGGATGTCTTTGGTGAAGATTTTGAAAATTTGATCTTCACAAGTTGCTTGAATCATTTGAAATTCCCAGGGGTCTGAGGAATACCAAAATACCATCATTGCCTTTGGATAATCCATAAATACGCATTTAAGACAAGAAAAGTTCAAGATGGAAAATGTTATGCCATATTTTATTTTTATCTCTCTGTGCTTTATTAGTCTTGATCAAAAAGATAACAGCTAGGGCTGGGGGTTTAGCTCAGTAGTTCTGCTGCCTGCCTCACAAGTGCAAGGGCACAAGTTCAATCCTTGGCACCAAAAAAAAAAAAAAAAAAAAAAAAAAAAAAA